TCTTGTGTAATCCCAATGCATATGCATCATAAAAAGTTGATGATCCCAATAAGGCAATAGCGCTATATGACCTACCCAAAGGCCTTCCTTAGATTATGAAAGAAGATCGATTTTAACTGCAAATAATTGTGAAGGCATGTCTGTCAATGTTTTTAATTGATTGATGTTCTAAAGATATGATAGTCTTATAAATGAATCTGTTGATTTAAAACATTTTGGCAGAAAACATAATTTCTTCATTGCAGACTATTAGGCATACTTGATTAAATTATTTACAGTGGAACATCAAAAATGAATTCTGAACTACCACAAGGATGGGATGTATCAGATAAGAAAGCAAAGGCAATCCAATAGTTAAACAATTATGAGATCCAGCTAAGGGAACTCTGTATTATCACACCCCCTGTGGACATTAGTCAGTGTGTGGATTTCCACCATAACATATAACATCAAGAAAAGTTGAATAATCTGCTAGGGAATACGGCCGAATCCTGCTTGGCCCAGAAATCTGCATTTTGTGAAGAAAAACTTGCATGATGATTTTAGTCTCTAGTGGAAAATTTTGGAGTCCTTTTTGGGCCCCTTTGTTGTTTTGGAAAATACTGGCAGAATAGCTTCCAAAAACCAATATATTAATCTATCACCAATCAATGAAACTCAAAGGCAAAGGGAATCATCACAACTTCTATGCAGATTAAACATATCAAGCATCCCCATATTATACTATAGAAAAATAGCCATAAAAGTCAAACCAGCTTTTGGAATAGCATTCTGTTCCCACATTTCAAGCATGTTCTTCTCAAAAAAGTGTTGTCATCCCTATATAATTTTTTTAGTTGAGCTTTATAATCAATAAGATTTTCATGAAGCATCAATCTGTACCTGTCAAATTCCAAATGAGCATCTTTTTTTTTTTATCTGATTGCAGATCTTTCTTTAACCAGTATCTTTCTTTTTGCATTCACTCATTCAGATGCAGTTTTGTTACTTATGTCATGTCTTTACAAGATTATATATATAGGATCAACTTAGCTTTAACAACCAATTTATGAAAAAGTATTCTTGGGGCTTTATTGTCTCAATAAGGAAGGAAATTATGCAGAAACAACGTATTGAGAGGTTGAGATAAGATGTCATATTATTGTATCGATCTAAAGTTGATATGAATAGACATTAGAAGATTTGCAAATTTTTCAACAGATTGAACCAGCACTGAATCCATCAATGACATCCAGCCTATCTTCCCTGACAGTTAATTTCCTGAATTTTGGTGGTGGGAAATGTTATACAGAGTAAAACGTTGATATATCCTTATTTATCGTGTTATCCAGCACATAACTTTCTTGCAGGCTTAGCAACAAATGCTTGTTGTTCTAGATTGGAAACCGCTATATGTGTTGCTACTAGCTAGCATATACTTCTTAATTGATCAAATGGCCGGTGATCAGTCCTCATTGGTTTTGTCATCTATTTGTTGAAAGAACCAAGGCATGGGCGACAGTGTCACGGACTTTGGTGAATTCCGCCGATCAGGTGTCTTTACAAGCCAAATTCACGGAAGTCTATCATCTACACACTGGTACATTGATGTAAAACCAGTTTTACTGCATGGTTTTTATTCAGAAACTATCAGGTTATTTGATTTTGTTCATATATAATAATCTCTACAAACAAATTATAGTACCACAACTAGATTTAAGTTTAATTAAATGAATCAAAGATGCTTAGGGATTTACATGATCTAAGTTACATTTTGAACTATATATATGTATTCAGACTTCAGAGTTCGCCACAGGTGGTGGAGCTAGGCAAATTGATAAGAAATTGGGACATACATACAGGGTTTCTTTTGTTAGCCAATGAAAAAACAGTAGCATAAAAGCACGGTACATACATTAAATGCAAAGTATCAAAGAGAGAATAAAAGGAGAAGAAGGAGTAGCGCAGCTGAGTCAGTGCCACGTCTCCATCGGGCATTGTTGGGGGGGCAAAATTAATTGGAGGAGGTGGTCTTGGCAGTACAAGCAGTAAGCGTCTAAGTGAATCAAACAAGAGAGAAGAGAAATAAATAGTTTTGCTCTTGCCATAACAGGACAAAGAGAAATAAAATCTGTTAATGTCAGCTGAGCTCAACACTACCTTTTTCAGCCTTTTGGCCATGAAATTATCAAGTAAATATTGCAAGGAGCAAGGACGAACTATACTTGTAACTGTGGATGGTAAAATTGCCCCTTTTCCCTCAGTTCTTCCCTTTATGCTTTCATGTATACTTCAAAATTAAAACATGTTAATAGAAAAAAAGGGTAAATACAATTAAGAGTTACAACTGCGTGTGTACAATTAGGAAGACAACTAGTGACAAATAACTAAGATATTTGCCTTTTTTGAAACAAAGGGCGGTTGATCAGTTAGATTGGCTTAAAGTTTCAGGTTTTTTATCTCGACCTCCTACAAAATTTGACTTTGTTCATGTGCATTTGGATTTGGAATTTCAAAAAATTTGACTTTACAATTATATAATTAGAGTATGGATTTCCAAAACCACATGGGATGTTGAATGCTGTTCGTAGTTAAGGTCCAAAAAAGTCAACATTTCATTAGTCTCATTCCAATATTCATATATTTTCATGGCAAGAAATAGGTTAAAGGAATCTTTACTATTCCAGCATTTAAATGTACAAAAGGTACTTTCTCTTTCTTTTACACAGGAGACGAGCTTAATTATTGCCTTTGCATGGTATTCCGCAGCTGTTGAAATTTTATTTTTAAAATGCTTTCCACAAAATTCAAATAGGAATTGATAAAAAAAAGAGCTCCTTTCATACCAATTAAATTAATCCCATGTATATAATGGAAAAAAATGTCATAGTATAACAAGTTTTACATGAAGCTTTTATAAAATGTGAATATAATTATGACAAAATATCAAGAGAATTATATGAAGGGAATTTGCAGTACAGGTGGCTTATAATAATAATAATTATTATTATTATTATTTTTTTGGAAGTTGGTAAGAGGAGGCCTATCGGATGCGCAATATTCATGCAAACATAACTTTTTTTTTGACATATTTCATGCAAAACAGTAGAGACATGCAATTAAGGGGGGCGTTAGGACATCTTTCCTGGATGTAATCATAGCTTAGTCAAATAGTCTTCACTTCTTTCTTTACTTATAAAAGCTTTTCTGCATGTCTACCACGTAGCTAGGTTAGATTTATGCGGTCCTGATTCGGTCAAAGAAGGTCGAGTTTTTTTTTTATCTTTCAAAGGCAATACTGTTTTGAGTTAATTACACAATTATTACTTACTTTTGAGAAAATATATAAATGCATAGTGATACATCTAATTATTATTACATGTTGGACTGAAACGGAAGGATTTTTTTTTTTTTCCAATTTAGTCCATTTTATCATGGGCCAGTTCTTATTTCTTTTAACTGCAGACAGACATCTTCCTGACCCACTTGACTTTGAAATACCCGACTCTCATGCGATTGAGCTGAAACTCAAACTAAAGCCCGTCAAACCTTCTCTTTTGAGTTTTTTTTTTTTTTTTTTTTTCATTATTAGATGAAATTTTATATATATATATATATATATATTTTTAAGTTTGATAAATCTCGACTGAAATTATTTAGTCTATGTTTTACTTGTCTCCAAAACGTGGTGACGAAGGTGCAGTCTACTTGGTTTAACCTCCTTTCTTTTTTCATTTTTATTTTCTTGAGTTGGGGGAAACTTGCATCAATTGTTGGGCCAAACACACAGGTGCCAGAAAATCAAACAATATTCTTTTGAACGCTCTTGCTTTAACATTATTGTGAAGGATTTTAAGGTACAAATGCTATAATATTATTAGCCTTTATAGTGCAAACACAATCCGATGCCCCTTGAAAATGGCTGGGATGGAAGTCTGCAGTGATTCGTCGTTGCTGTTGATGTAAAATCTGTTAAATTTTAGCTGATTAACTTGTGAAATGCTTCTACTCTGGTTGAACTGCTGTATTACCAATTAGGGAATTATTCACATGTTAACATTAATTAATACAAGGCTGTTCTCATTTACCCTTAACCTTTTTGCTCCAAATGTTGTTATACTGAATTGCTGATTTGCTAATCCTTGATCTTAGTTGGTTTTCTCTTTACTTAGTGATTCTTATTTGTGATTATATTTCTTTTTACTTCCTGTGGTTATTTCTTTTCACTGCTTGTAGTAGTCGAACAGTAGAAGTTCTAGAATTTAATTATTGACTTGTGCTTATTATGGATGGATTACACAATGCATGCAAATTCCTCTATCATATGTTAATGCTGTAATTGGGACATCTGGTGCAAATGTAAGCTATATGCCCCATGCCAGTGCGGCAGCTATAGCTGTACAGGAAACAGGAGGTGTGCCTGGCAGCCTGGATATGACTGTTGAAATTTCTGGATCTGCCCCTGAAGTACAAGCAGCTGAACAATTGATAAAGGTACTATGGCTTGACAATTTCAGACTGCATAATAGTTGTATATATTATTATTCTTACTAGCTCCACTGTTGTGTTGAATCGCTTCTCCCCCCTGCTCTCTTTTTCACTCCCCTCCTTTTTTCCCAAGTTTTCCTTCTCTCTTTTCAACTTTTCCCGAACATAATGGACTTTGAAATCCTTTATTTGACTTCAACCAATCAGAACATTCAGTTTTGATCAGTATCAAAACCAACAAATTTTTTTGTTTCCTTTTTTGCCCATTTAAGCTCCTTTTAACATTCAGTTGTGATCATATGTATGTTACAGAACTCTATGGCCGAAGCTGCAAGCTCTCTGCATAGCCTGCCAGGTGGATCAATCAATGAGGAGTATAATCCCAATCTGGCACATGCTTCTGTTTATGCATCTGCATCTTCTGATGCCAGTGTTCATGTCAGCCATGCTCCAGCCTGAGACTATGGTTCAGTCTATGGCACTGATTATGGTTGTTGAGATAGTACCTGATAACTTCAGAGTTGGAATAGGAATAGTTGAGGATCCAAACACTCATCACATTTGTGTAAAATCTCGCACTCCTACGTGAAAGAGGAAGACTGATAGCGGTTGAAAGATTTCAACGGAGAACTCATTTTAGCGTTCCTTATTTTTATTCTTGTACCAAAATTTCAATACAGGGAAACGATGCACCAAATCAGGGCAGCCTTACCCAAGAGAATGAGCTGTTTATTTATTATTTTGATAGAGAAAAGTGATTGGAATCTGATGGCCTAAGGGAACCCGGTCATCCATATAAATTGTTGATTCAGTGGAAATGTTTGTTTTGCGAAGATGACAAGGGCACAAAGCAATTAGAGCACGCAGCCCCAAAAGATATAGTTTAACCAAAATGATCTGAAGCTGATAGCATGTTTGTTGAAAGCTAAAAGGATTGAAAACATGAGACAAGGAGCTCTAAAAATTCTCCATAGGTATTCACTTATCTAAGGAAAACCTATAAACACAAACTTTATCTGTGTCTTTCTAAACTAGAGCTAACAATTGCAACTCTAAAATTTTGAAAAAAACTATTTTTCTGTCTGCACAGTAAAAAAAAAAAAAACCTTGAAAATTGAGTTTCTATATGGGTGCTGTACATGTAGTTCTGAAATGCCCGGTTTGATTGCAGCGACTGCAATGCACCATCCGTTTTGCCCGACCAACATTTTCTGCACGAGCTCGCCTCTTCCTTGGTTTCCCAGGCTTCTGAAGCGGCTTGGGTGGCTTTATAATGACCTCAACTTCTTTATCTCCTTCATTTGGAAATTGTTCACACATCTCTTTCCAAAGGGCTTTATCAGGAACAGGGTGTATTTTATTGGAGTATGCCTTACGGTAACTTGCCACTGTGAAACAACTTTCTGTAAACCTATACACATTTTGTCTACAAGAAAGGAGAGCAGCCACAGCATGAGCACATGGGAGTCCACTCAGCTCCCATCCACGACAATAACAGCTTCGTGTGCGAATATCTACTACAAATGCTCCTTCATTATGGGTTTGAACCTCGAATTCGGCTTCATTTGCTTTGAACACTTGGTAAGTGTATGCACGCTCAACGGCCTCCAATACAACCCTTTCCGCAGGGGGAACAAGAATGCCTGTCCACTGCATGCTTGTCTCGCGACGCTCGTTGAAACAAGCCATCAGTTGCCGACGGATACACTCCATCATTTGAATTATTGGAAAGCCAGAGGCCTCTGCTATCCAAGAATTTAAACATTCCACTATGCTGGCAGTCAGGTGTCCCAGCCTTGTCCCTTCGAAATGTGCTGTGGCCCAAAAGCGAGGAGGAATATTGCGAATCCAAGTAGCAGCGTCTGGTGAGATTTCTTGAATCTCAATGATTTTTTTTTCAAACTCAATGCCGGTGAGCGCATAAGCAGCTTCCCAGAAAAGGTTGATAACTACAGAACTGTTGAACTCCTTCCGGAAACTGTCAATGAGATGATGCATGCAGAACCCATGAAAAGCTGTCGGGAAGTTTGCTTCTACAGCATCTACAACACCCTTCTGTCTATCAGACAAGATGGTAAGTCTTGGCATGTTCTCTGCATTAATCTCAAGCAGATAGTGCAACTCAGAGAGGAACCACATCCAATTGGCATCATTTTCCTCATTGACCACCCCAAATGCAAGAGGGAACACAGCACCATCTCCATCAAAACCACAGGCAAAAAGCATGCTCCCCATGTACTTGCTTTTCAATATAGTTTTATCAAGTCCAATAAGAGGTCGGCATGCATTCAGAAAACCATGTATGGATGCTTGAAATGAAATGAAAAGGCGTTGAAAACAGTTATCAGTGGGATCCCCATAAACCAGAGCAATACTTCCTGGATTTGTTCTTCTGATCATATCACAATATTGAGGGAGGAGGCGATAATCTTCCTCGAAAGAGCCACGCACAGCAGCCATGATGCGCTCCTTGCCCCTCCATGCTTGCTTGTATGACAAAGTGATTCCATGAACACGGTGAATCTCTTCCAATAACTCCTTGGGTTTATAATGAGGATTTTCCTTGAGGCTTTCTGCTACAGCATCTGCAACCCACTGGACTGAGGCTTGTTGATGACCAAGATGGGTAATCCCTCCACAGGTATGTTCATCATGGATGGTCCTAATGGTAAAAGTAGGAACACCAGGAAGTTTTGCAGCATGTATTCTCCAAGGGCATCCCTCACTCGCACATTTGGTAGTAAAACGAGTCTTGTCAGACTTTATTGTTTGCATCTCAAAGCGAAGAGCAATAGCTGCATCTCTCAGAGCCCTCCTACAGCTGTGGACATCAGGGAACTCTTTTCCAACAGCCAATTCATGGTTTGGCACTGGAAATAATGTACGGCACTGAAGCACAGGAGCACCAACTACCAGCTGTTGCTGTTGAGAAAACATGTCTGATGCAGGTACGAAACTCATTTCCTGATTTCGCCGCATGTCTGAATTTAAATTGTCCTGAAGATCCTGCTTCTCCACAAAAGTCAATTCACTACTATCATGCAAAGCAAACTCATGATTCTGAGCAACAGCAGGGAATTGATCATCATGTTCCTCAACATCAGTATGGTCTTTCTCAGCATCAGGGTAGTTTATTTGATCCATATCTAATCCATTCTCTTCAAAATTATGTAGATAATCAAGTGGCAGAGCTAGATCATTTGCATGTGTCTGACAAGTTGCTAGTTTATGATCATGATTATGTCCTGAACCCAAGTCATGATCATGAGCAGGCCTGGTAACCAAATCACAGTCACGGATCTGCTCTGGACGTAGTAAATCATGATTACCATTAAGAACAAAGTCGGCATTATGCCCTATTCCTACATATTGATTCTGCCGCAATGAGGAATCTTGATTTTGCCCTATCAACAACTCACGGTTTGCCATAACTCAAAAACTGGTAGCCTACCCTTTATAAATCCAAGCAAAATCTCAACTAACAACCAGAGGAAGCTCTAATCTGACAGTGATTTGGTCTCAAACAGAACCTGCTCATGTAAAAAGTATTTGTAAATAAACAATTATTTTACATAACTTAAAAAAAAAAAAAAAAAAACTCGTATTAAAAATTTGAAACAGTGTTTCAAACTAAACACAATGTAAAGTCATATATTTATAGGAAGCTAGTAACTCTAGCACCAATATAAACAGCAGCATTTACAAAACCCTTAGATTGCTCCTTAATGAAACTTCTTTGGGAAATCAAGAATCGATTCTTTTGAAAATTACCATGATCAAGCAACCACAATCGTAGCAATAAAAGAATTGTGAAAAAGGAAAATTTTTTCATAATCTATTGCAAAATGTCGAATTTACAAGAAAAAGAATTCAGCAGTAGCAACTGGAACCCAGTACAACTTAAATTTTCTGAAGGAGAAACAAAACGACATAATAGAAACTGAACCGTAGTTTTTTCTGGGCAACCAAACAAAAGAACAAAATGCAAATTGCTTTCAGTTTGGTCTTTTATCAAACACAACAAAACTCACCACGTGGGGCCCTCATAAACAACAAAATTTACATTCAACAAAAAAAAAAAAAACAGAGTTCAAGCTTCCAACACTTTCAAAGTACCAAAAAAAAAAAAAAAAACAACGTGGGAACTTCAGTTTTAAAAGGAAATAGTCTCTCTTATCTCTCCAAGCCAACCAAACAGTCGAAAAACAAAAAAATCTCACCGGAAGATAACTCTTCAAAGAGAACCTGCAAAAAAAAAAAATTAAAACCACGAAAAGGGTAGAAAAGATTTCAATAAATCAATGAAGAGAAGAAAAAAAAAGAGAATGATAAAAGATTAAAGGGTGATAGGGATTACATGGAAATTGAAAATTGAGCAGAGAGAGCCAGGGGAGGGTGTGGAGAAATTTGAAAGGGAGAGAAGGGAGAAAGAGTTGGCGGGGTTTGGGTAAAAAGGGGAAAACGGGGAAGGAGAAGGGCAAAGGAGGGGAAGAGCGAGTAATTGCAGGGGTAAAAGGGCAGGGGTTTTGGCTTGCGAGATTTTATATTTGAGGAGAGAAGCGAAGCAGGGTTAGCCAATTTTAGAGGGTATTTGGGTCATTCTGATCACCCCCAGCCCAGCATATTTTGGGTTTGTATTTATCAATTACTACACTATTTTCTATTAAAAATTTTACTACACTATTTATGTTTTTTTTAGAACTAAATAGTAGTTTTGAATTGAATAAAAAATTACATATTAGGATGCAGCTTGAAAAATGATAAGCCTCTCAAACCAAAAATAATTTAGTGTTATCCTTTTCTCTATATTTTGAATAGTATAAAACTTTCAAATTTAAAATTTTCATATTTAATCATAGAATTTTTAACGAATATTTTAAAGCATTTTTAGTTAAATTATTATTTTAATAATATTTTATATCAAATATAATAATTGATAATTAAAGTAGTGTGTTCCTTTAAAAAAATGCTTTTTTAGGACACTAACAATTTTTAACAAAACTTTTGATCATATTAAAAGCACTAAATTAGATATGTCAATTTTATTAAAATTTGATGAGAAACTCAATTTTTTATTTTAATAAATATGAAGATAAATATTAAATTTTCAAATGAAGATGGAAATTGATATAATAGAGTTGGGTATTAAATTTTGAGAAAATGACAAAAATATATATGATTTTAAATTTTTTATTGAGTACGGAAAGAAATACTTAGCATACATTTTGTGTTTATACCCTATACATATTTTATATATTTAATAAATTAATTTTTTATTTATAAATTTTATTTTAAATTTATTAGAACTAATATATTTGTATTTTAAAAATATATATTATAAAAATGTACAAATAAAAATAAAAAACAAAAAATAAATTTTATTATTACTATTTTTTAAAATATCACATATATGAAAATTATCTATACTCATTAATATCACAAGGATGAAAATAAGATAAATTTGAAATATTAATTGAAAATGAATGCAAAAATGAATATAATATAAAAATAAAAAATGAGAATAAAAATATTTTACCCCTTCAAACCCTATCCAATAACATCCCTATGGTAAATCTTTTAATTAATAGAGGCAAAAGAAATGGTGCATTGTCCGGATTTATTGTTAGGAAAATTTTATATGCTATGCTACATCACATAAAATGAAATTATTAACCAATGGTTTAATAATTCGAATAATTTTTTTCATATTTTTTTTAGTATTTGAAACTGTCAGACCACTAAAACAAAAGTCTAATATTCTGACAGCATAAGCACAACTTTCATAACCTTAATGCAAAATCCTAACACAAATAAACACGAGACGGCGTGTACTTGTTTAAGGAAGCAATCTTTTCGAAGATTGCATGAAAATTAGAAAAAGAAAAAAAAGTAAACAAACAAACATCTTTACATAGTTATGAAAAAGCTGCTCTCAGGCTTGCAAAAATCTATCAAGGCATGATTGTCGCCAAAAATGCTCATAAACTGGAAATTATGCAATGTCATTTATTTCTGACTTAATCTTCTTCTAGTTATTACATCAGTCTGATCTCAATCATAAACTTGTTGTGCATTGCAGAGGGGTGAATTCATACAAGGAATTGCAATGTTTACTTAAACATTGCTGAGAATCTAATTTCTGTTTCAATCCATCAAGATGATCGCGTTCCCTCTAATTGACTAGATTTAAGCTTAGGCAGCAATTCAGAAACCCGCAACACCATTTATCCTGCCATTGCTTCCATTTAAAACCATTTTTGAGAGAAAAGTAACCTCTTGTGAGTCCAAATGTTCACCTAGTAGCTCACTCCAAAATTCATCATCCTCGTTGAGGTCAGGTGCTTCCATGAGTTCTACCACTTGCCTCAATGTTGCTACGTTCCTACCAGCGCCACAACCCATGGCAGTAGCAGCACCCACAGCATTTGCAAACGCTAATGTAGTAACCAAGGGAATGTTATGTATAAAACCAAATGCAATAGCAGCAACAAAACTATCTCCACACCCGACAGTGTCAATGACTTTCACCTAATCAAATATTTGAAAGAATCCGTATAGGTTAGCATGACCAAATTCAAAAGAATGGTCGGATGTAACTTCTTCACATACTGTACAAATGAAAATTTTCTGACAATAGGCTTCATATTTTAAGGACAAGTAGATGTTGAAAGTGCTAGATTACTAAGAGAAACATGCAGATGTGTCAGATGTACCTGAAACTTTTGCAATATATATGTTACAGTATACATGAGTAATAGAATACATTTTCAAGAATCAGAAAGAAGTCCTAGCTTAAAGCAAAGTGAAAAGATATTCAAGGAATTGCCATAAAATAGCATTCACCTAATAATTACAACCTTCCATTTTTCTGGATATACAACAAAGCTAAGGCTATAACTCACCTTAAATGCAGGTGCACAAGTAATACTTGACGTGGTTATCAGAATTGAACCATTTGGGCCCATCTTCACAACCACCCAGTTAGTGCGGACTCCTTTCCTCAGCAACTCTTGCCCCGCTAGTATCGGGTTTGCTATGCCAGTCAATAATTCAGCCTAGAGGTTCATTAATGTAAGTATAACTCATTAGGTAAACAGCCAATAAAGTTACTAGATAAAAAGATGTAATTCACATCAAATACCATAAGAGGCTGAATACTTCCTACAGCGACACAAACCTCCATTGTTGCAGGCATATTTAATATTTATAGAAGGATGAGGACCGATGCCCGATAATCTAAAAAAACTTGTGCGTTTTCAGGCAAAGAAATATTGACAATATCAATATGTATCAGTGAATGAAATATAGAATTCAGTAATTTTGTCAGATGACAAATATTCTAGCATTGATGGTTCAGCTAAAGAACTAAGCAACAAAGGAACAATCATTCCCAGCAATTAGAAGAAAGTTGAGATGATTCAGGCATGAATCAAAACAGGTATACTAGGAAGAGGACTGACAGGTAGAAATTGAAGATGCTCAGACGACAAAAAGAGAACTAAGTCACCAAAAATTAAAAATTGCTGCAAGACAAGGCATATTGAAAGAGAAGGAGATCAACTTCATAAAGTTAAAATGATTAGAATAATATCAAAATGAGATATGACAGCACTGGGCATAGATATAGAAGCACACCACAAACAGAGAAAAAGAAAAACAGAATAAAAAAGTCCATTGATTCTGTGAAAAGCAATGCAACGAACCTCATCAGATGTCAGGAGAAGGACATCACTCATCCTCAAGAATTGCGTAAGTGCTTTTTGCTCTTCGACAGTTCCACATAAAATACTCTTCCCACGTGGCCCCGGATCAAAAAACACCGATGTACCAACTTCAACCGCATACTCCACAGCTGAGATTAACACACCAGGGGAAAACTCATCAAAGTTATAACCATTACAAAACAGGATTCTCGATCGTTTAATTGCGCTCTTTACTTCTTCAGAAAGTGTACTTATCCAGCTAAATGCAGGCTCCTTACTAAAATCTGCCCGACTGATAAAACAAAAACATATAAAAATTTAGCACACCATTTTCTCAACCAAAATTGGAGACCTCTATTGAAACACAAAGAAAAGAAAGCTTCTTTTTTACCTGCAAAAGCCATGTTCTTGTAAAGGGTCAACAAGCACCCAGCATAAGAGGGTTTCATAAGAAGCACTAGGACTGTTAACAACATCAGTTTGGTCACTCAGTCCAACCATACCAATTCCTTCATCATGAAGCACATCTAGAAGAAACTTCCCATAAATTTCATTACCAACATGACCTATTGTAATACAGTTAAGTCCCAGCCTTGCAGCTGCTATAGCCATATTACAGTTTCCACCAGCTTCCCAATATTGCTGTAACCCAAACACCCATAGATAAAAATTAGATCTTTTTCCATAGAACCCAATAAATTAGAAAAAACCCATTTTAAAAAGAGTGACATTCTTTTTACCTTATCGGGAGGACAAGAGGATAACTGATCCATGAAGGCTTTGCGAGCGTCCGCCGAAGGCGGGGGTAATTTGGGAACATTGATGACAATATCGACGCAGAGGTTGCCGAGAGCGGCGACATCGTCGGTTTTGACCGAGGATGGTTTGGTGGCGTCGGAGGAGAGAAGAGATCGAGGGGGGTGATTGGAAACTGGCATATGGAAAACCCGGCAGCTGAAGGCAGAGCAAGGAGAGTTGGTGACGGTGTTTGGGACGAGGGGGAAGAGGAGGCGAGAAGGGTTAGGCTCAGGAGGGTCGAGGTGGGGAAGGAAAGGGAATTGGGGGGTTTTTAAGGCTATGGATTGATGATGCATTCAGCTGACCGAGTAGTAAAAACGAGTTAAAGAAAAATTAAAAGAATAATGGTAGCTTAGAATAAATGTATGGATGAAGAAGAATTTTCCTTTCTCTCTCCTTCTCCCAAAGTCAAGTTGAAATTGTGAGTTTCTAAGCCTTTCAAGTTGACGTTATGGTTAAATTTCGGTTTTCAAGTATGGGATTCACTGTAGTCTGTGGAAATTTTCATCCATCCTTTTACCACCGAATAATAAATCAAGTTTGCATTCAAAGATGGTTGGTTCTTGGTAGTGTGAATTCAATGATCAATTCATTTTCATAACTCCGCCATTACTAATGGTTTTTCCAACAGCTTATCCCCTAATGTCAAAATCTCAAACGCCCTTACAAGAATATATGTAGCAAACGGTAATTTTCTTTGGCAGAGTGGCCACCATCATAGGATATATATGCTCACATTAGGTGAGGATGACGATTCAAGTCAAGAGTGGACTGCTTTTTTGAACCTGTCATCAATTTCTACAACACCAACTTTGCCTATTTGTCCAATTCAAAGCTCAAGTACACAAAATTCTGCAAGTCCCAACCGATGTTTCTGATTGTAAGGTTCTCAGATTAATTTCAAAACTTTGAATCAGCTACTTTGAAAATAGCACAACTACAAGAAACAATGAAGAAATTGTGTCTGGTATACATGACAAGTAGACCAGATGACAAGGGCTTGACATTTTCATCGCCTGCGTAAAAGATAAACTGGTCTAGTGTGTAATTCTTTAAAAACTAGTTTCGTTATTAGTATGCTTCCATACACTTGATAGTCAATTAGTCATCTCAAGACCGACAAAGTTCAAACTGAAATTCTTGGTATCAGGATGAACCTCAAAAGCACCACCAAGTAACCATAGGCAAGAAACCATGGGAATTGAGGTGGTTTACCTGAGTAAACTCTGCTGGTCAGTCTCTTGAGATGGTTTTCATAACTTTGCCAACTCCTCAAGTCTCATGACAACATTTTGAGCTACATCACAGTAAGCTTTGGAGACAACAGAATCAGGTGCTGATACCACTATAGGTATGCCTTCATCACAACCTTTCCTTATGTCGACTTCAATGGGTATCTGAGACAGCAACAGGTCATATATAATTGCAGCTTTGGATATATAAGCAGCTACTTTACGATAAACATTTAGCTATCAAGAAGGCCAAGGAAAGTCCTCAATCAACTACAAGCTAGTAAAAAGCACAAAAATCCTTTTATTTTCCTCAAATTGTTATTAAGCAATAATGTTGATAACACCCTCCTCCCTAACTATTGTGGTTTGACTTCCATCCATTTACAAATAAAATTTCAAATTATCATTCATTATCAGCCTCTTCTGACAACCCTGAAGATGGGAAAAGCATATGTTGCTGGGAACATTTACCTAATCATGAAGACAACAAAATATATGAACTACCCATCATAGCGACCAGCTAAAACAGGTTGACAACCTTTAATCTTAATCACAAATCAACAACTTACCTCAGCAACAAGTTGCAAACCCATCTCAGCAGCTGTTCTACGAGCTCCACCCACACCAAAAATGAATGAAGGTTCACCACAGTGTGGACACTTGAAGCAGCTCATGTTTTCTATTAATCCCAAAATCTATAAAAGCAGACAGAATTCAAAACCATCAAGAGAGAAAGAGGGCAAATTAAACTCAGGGAAGTAGGTAGGGCAGAGTTTCTATTCACAAAATTTCCAGTAATACAGAATACTATTATAGTGCAGCCGCAGCACCATAAGGAGTTAGATGAAAGGGGCACATGCAACAACAACGTCCACATGCCCAAAAAGCTTAGTGCATACACTTAATGTGGTCATGGCTTGTTTTGAAGCAGTTCCTTTTTGATGTTCATGCCATAAAACCACAATCCTTCACTGTAGGCAGTGACATTTCTAACCTACATACTGCTTTATAACTTAAACTACTAAGTAATTGTTGTTAGATTTTATTAACTCCACCATTAGAGAGAGAAAGTTTAACAGACAATTAAATACAAAATATCACATGCAATTGAGAGCAAAATAACAATATCAAATTTGGGCACCATAAACAATTCTCAACAAGCTTTGCAGGCAAGGTAAAAGTATGCATGCAGAAAATACGACTTACAGGAACTTGAACTTTAGAGAACATTCTAACTCCTCTACGAGCATCAATCAATGCAACATCTTGTGGGGTTGAAACTATTAAAGCACCTAAAAAAGCCAACACTGATAAGAAACCATCAAACATGATTTTTTCAATTAAAAGAATATATCAGAAAAGGGAAGTGAATAAATGCTTTCCTCCATTTCCTTTCTTTTCCCCCTTTGGGAATATTGGTGGTTGGCCTGGAAGGAAGAAAGTTCGGGGGAGAGGGTAATTAACATAAAGTTATCCTTCCGAAACTAGACCTTAGAAAATAAAAGAAATCATAATTTCAGCCTTCAATATCCCCACCTACCTACTTATCCCCACAAGAAAGAAATGGGAAAAAGCTTATGCCCAATAGTAACAAGTAACTTTTGTCATTCAAGTTATTGTGATGTCAAATTTATTCCAACTTTATTGAGGAGATCATCCAAAAGCATAATACAGGCACAATTATCTAAGTGATCTTAGTGAACACCTATGAAGCCTTAGAGGTACTATGACAAGTCCAAAGTCATATCACTCTTGATAAGAAGCCAATTTTCAAGCATAGCACCAAATGACCCTTTTCCTAATAGGAAAAAAAAAAGAATGAAGAAAGAAAACAAAATACTAAAGTTAATTATATACCTGACAACTGAAGCTTCTGGGACATAGTTAGTTGTGCATCACCTGTGCCAGGGGGCATATCCACCACAAGAATATCAAGACCCCCCCATTCAACTTCCTTTGACATTTTCTGAAGAGCACTCATCACCTGAAAGAATCTTAAGCACTTACAAAATGCAATGTAAATTTAAGAATGTGAGAAAAATGTTTAAAATATTTTAACATGCAATATTCTAAATATGGGAGGATGCATTAGTTAGACAGATAATACATATTACGCGCATTGTAGATTTTTTTTTTTTTTTTTTTTGGTTATGGGTTGCAGATGTTATTAGAAACAAGACACGTGAAATGCAAAGGATTGAGACACAAATTTCAAGTTGCAGGAAAATCTCTCAAATGAAGCTATTGTGACTTATAACACAATATCTAGGTTAAATAAAATAGGGGACAAATCTCAACTAAGGTTCAATCTAAAATTTAAGAGGTTCAACTGAATTTAAGCTGGCATAGATGGACAACTAGATTCTTAAAATGAAGCCACCTTGTACACAGAAGCTATAATAAAAGAGATATATGTTCCAGAAAGAATGAAAGAAAAATAAAAGCAGAGAAATTAGATAGCGTAAAATACCATGGGGCCTCTCCACACGATTGGTGCATCCTTATCCACCAGAAATCCCATAGACATACACTTCACTCCATAGTTCTCAATAGGAATCATCTTCATATCTGCGTGTGTGTGAGAGAAATGGTGAGAGTTTTAAAAACATAGCTCACAAAAAAGTAAGAATGATGGTAAACCATCCAGAAGAACAATAGGCAAAAACTCTGTATCAGCTGCAATTCCAAGAGGATGCTTGCGAAAGGATATTAAAGGATAAAAATGCACTAGTAAAAGAAAGTGTCAAGAAGATGAACTCAATCTCCCAAATAAGTGATAGGCAGAAAGCGAGAGGGATTGGAGTAAATTCATCCAGCTAAAATTCTGCTGTTAATCCCTCTTTATGAGATTGTGTAAAGACCATATTCATGATTCAAGTATGCATCCATCCCACGCTTATTAAACTAACTAAACAAATATAAGAAATGAACTTCAACCATTTATTAGTTGATTACATAAGACCGAACCAAACGTATGAGATTTCATATATAACAGAAATATTCAATGAAACCCATTAAAGCACCATCATATAACACTTTTAATTACTTCATACCTGTTGCAACTAAATGGAAAATGAATTGATATACAAATAGAACATTTTCTACCATTGACTAAAAGACTATGTCTTGGAAGATAGAATACTACCTCTAGTAACTTCAGGCTTTTGGTGGATGTTCATCATGGTTGGAACAGATGGTCCATACACATCAGCATCAAGCAAGCCCACCTTCAATCGGCACTTGATAGCTAGTGCAACCGCTAAATTAACTGCAAAGATCGCATACTCAACTAACATGAATAAATATCCCTAGAAAATGGTATTCCTAACTCATGAATCTGAAAAGAATAGATTACCTGCAGTGGTAGACTTGCCAACACCGCCTTTACCAGAAGCAACGGCAATCACATCTTTAACCCCATTAATTCTTAGCTGATCATTGCTTAACACTGAATAACTCCTGATACCCCCAAGCCTCTGCCAAAAAAAAAAAAAACCATATTTGAATCAACCCAAAATTTGAAGCTTTAAAATGAAACCAGAAAAAAGCCATATTGTAAAGCACAAAAGCCTTTAACTTACAGCAAAGAGTCGCCAGAAGTCCTTCATTAGGAAATAAACCCACAAGTTGAAGTCCTAACTAGCAGTTGACGAGTCTGTAAAACAATTAGTAATAGCAAAAAATCCATCTTTCTTGAGATATGTCGGGTTTATTGTCTTTAGGGTTACTTGGTTGTCCCACATCAGGCAGCAAAGAGCGGGGAGTGCTGGGAAGTGCTCATAAAAACGAAGGTGAGGGGTTCTGCACAGTACCGTATACCTGGACGGGGCGAATAGCCGATTAGAAAGGCCATGGCCTGTGTGGGCGGCCTGCATTGCACTTGGTGGGTACGCCAGCTTAACATCTACACGTCATAATTTGTGGCAGTCGGGCCTGCCTTAGCTCGGCCCTTATCCAAATTAATATACCAAATCTTCTTCGTTTTTCTATAAATTCAAATTTCTGCGACAATTTCTCATGTTAAATTATTACAATTCTCAAACTTTATGTTAAAAAAATATATTATCCCTATGTAACCATCCACTGCATATAATGTATAATACTAATAATAGGGTAAAACAAAGGCAAAAAAAGAATAAAGGCAAAGTTTTGGTTTTATATATGATTGGGCGAAAGCTTGTTGTGACCAAATCAAAAGTAAAATTTTAAATCTTTCCTTTATTTGGCAACCAAACAAATCAACAACAGTTGGTTTCAACGGTCAGCCCTTTACCCGAACAAAAGTACTTTCCATTGCCTTCGTTTCTTCTTCTTCATCGTTCATCTCAATTAACATAAGGTATTCTTCATCTCAATTAACAGTTGGTTTAAGGTATTTAGAACTTCATTTTGAGAATTGTTCTTAATGTTCTTAATGTTGGGTGATCAATTATGAGGCTTTTCCAGGCCTTGTTTTGACCGTCTCAATGGATCTGATAATATGGTTTTTTTTCATTTTGTGTGGGGTTTTTTATTACATTAATGGGTTAGGTCTTAGGTCTTTGATTTCAATTTATTTATTTATTTTCTAATCATTTCAATTAATTGGAAAGCTGTCATTGTTGGTTGATCATAATCATTACTCTGGACGGTTGGTTACATTGTCCTATCTGATTCAATTCTAAACTGTCAACAGGTCTTCTTTAATTATTTGTTATCATGAAATTCACATTTTTTTTCTTCCTTTATTTAACCTTTGAAGGTTTTTAAGAATTTCACTAAATTGCTATTGTCTAAGAGGGTTTCCTCTGGTCGCAAATTCTACATTTTAAGAATTTTTTTTATTTTGTTATAATTACCTTTATTCGTGTCAAATGAATCAAAGAGAAAAACACTGTCTTGGTGATGTTGTTTGTGCATGGGAGTCTGTGCATGCGTTATTTATTTATTTATTTTAATACCTTAATGCTTTGTTGTTAGCTTGGAAAGTTTGCTTAGCTCTACATTAATTTACTTTCATGCGGGCTATCGCTGACTTGGTTGATTGTTTCTTTTATCGTGTAATGGAAGCTTGCCTCATTGAATTGGGGATGGGATTCTCAGCTTTGCGTTGCAAGGTTAAGAATTACTTTATGCATCAATTAAGGCTTTTTGGTATTCATCCAGTTCTGAACCTAATGGTATCCTAGAGCACTTGTGGAAATGGCTGCAAATGCTACTTCATCTCCCAAAGAACAAAGGAATTTGAAGGGGTTTCCAACAGTCCTAAAGTTTGCTGCTTGTGAATGGTTTCTGATTTTTCTGCTGTTTATTGATGCCGCCTTGTCTTACCTGCTCACAAGATTCGCTCGTTACTGTGAATTGCAAATACCTTGCATTTTATGCTCTCGGCTTGATCATGTTTTCGGAAATGAAAAACCTGGATTTTATTGGAATCTGCTTTGCAGTAATCATAGATCAGAGATGTCATCGTTGCTTCCCTGCAACGATCATGGCAAGCTTGTTGATGGTCGTGGTATGTGCGAGAATTGTCTCTCATCACATGTTGAGGAAAATAAATCCAACTCAGATATACAGAGGCTCTTTTTAGGAAAATTGGGTTTTGATCCCGCAGGTTTTGGAAATTGCGGTTCCCAGAGCTCATTTTTCAACAGGTATCTTGCTCCTGCTTCTAAATGCACAAGGCTGTGTCTCTGTTGTAATAAACCTTGGATTCCAAGACCAAATGCCCATAGACTACTTCCCCTAAAATCACCTGGCATTGTGGATGCGAAGCCAAACATTTCTTTGCCATGTCGCTTAAGTTGTACAAATGGCTTGAAAAAGATAGGGGATAAGTTTTCTGCACCGGCAGCATCTCATCTTCTTGGAAAAACTGGATTTGATCCCTTGTCTCATGTAGGATACAATGAGCTGAAGATCACTTCTGGATCAGAGTCTGAGGTTCCATCTTCTGATGATGAGGATGGAAATAGTATAGTTCACGATATAAATGAGAATACGACAGAATCTGTACTTCACTCTGCACCTGAAAAGGCACCTAAAAGACTTTACAACAATTTGGCTACGACAAAACAGCCTGATGCTAATGAACCCCATGATGTTAGATGTTTGGCTCCAGATCTCCCCAGTGAGAATGATGTCTGTGAACTTGAAGAGCAGCTGGCTGATCCGAAGACCAATTCTTCTTCACTGCCTGAGCTTATTTCTCTAGATGATAATCTTCCATCACCCTGTGTTGTGGAAGTTCCAAGCCTCAGTGCTTCGTTACTGTCTGATCTTGTTTCTCTGGTTGATACTCCCCCTTCGATTGATGTTAAGGAAGTTCCTCTTAAAGCATCGTCAGAAAAGTGTAAGTTCTCTCTCTCTCTCTCTCTCTCTCTCTCTCTCTCTTTCTCTCTCTCTGTATGTTTCTATAGGTTTTATCTTATAAAACTTAATATCAGAAACGGTTTGCAGTGGCAGATGTTTTCGAAGCAAGTAAAAGTGAAAATCTTTCTATCAACAAGAATGATGAAATTTCGAAGTTGATATGCACATCAACTGGAGCTGGTTTCAAAAATGATCGAGTTGTAGATGATACTGCCACCGTAAGTTCAATTTATGGGGATAGGAGTGCTGTGCATGTGTTATCTGTCTGTGGTGAAGAAAAATGCTTATCTGACTTTGTTATGAAACAACCTATGCTGATATACAATAATGGAGTTAATGAAGATCTTAAGTCATTGGCGGCGCAGAATTCTTCTGGACAAGGGATTCACTTATCATTGAACAATTTAAGTCCTAACTTACGAGGTCATTATGTTGAATTGCAGAGAACTAATGAATCCAACTCTGATGAGGTTCAGAATCTTCAGAATCTAGTCTTTATGGAAAGAAGTGAATCTGCTGGCCTTGAATCTTTGGACGGAAGCAGTGTCAATGAAATTGAAGGTGAAAATCTGGTTGATAGGCTGAAGCGGCAAGTTGGGTACGATCGGAAGTGCATGAATGCATTATACAAGGAACTAGAGGAAGAACGAAGTGCTTCTGCAATTGCTGCCAACGAGGCAATGGCTATGATTACAAGGTTGCAAGAAGAGAAGGCAGCTCTTCACATGGAGGCTCTGCAGTACCTAAGGATGATGGAAGAGCAAGCAGAATACGATGTAGATGCCCTGGAGAAAGCTAATGACCTTCTGGCTGAAAAGGAGAAAGAACTACAAGATCTGGAAGCAGAGCTTGAATATTACAGATTAAACTTCCCAGATGAAATACTCGTAGAAACTGTACCTGACGCAAGCATCAACTTAAAGAAGGAACATGTTTTTGTGGAAAATACAAGCATAACCTGCATAAAAGATGATTTAAAATTTCCCTCAAAAACAATGTTTCCTGAGGCTTCGGAAGTCAACGATAATCCTGTAGTCATATCTGCATGGTCGGAAGTTGAAGATGAGAAGTTGTACATCTCTCAATGCCTTCAAAATTTGGAGAGGAAACTTAACAAGCTTGCTCATCATGGGACTTCGCCATACATTTCGGGTAGTGAATACTTTGATGAAGCAGTAGACGGAGGCCAACATCAGCTAGAGTTCCTTGATGAAAAGGATAAGCAAGTAACTTGTCAGGTGGAAGGTAATGATTTATCAGTGCAGAAAGCTTCATCAATGTCAAATGTAACTGCTCCTTGTACTTCAATAAGAAGAGATTAAGTGATTAGAAAAGCAAATGGTCATAAGGTTTCCAATGGGCAGAAGGGTTCTGTGGATTGTACAGAGACTGGTTTTGCTGCTCTTGAAAATGAAATTTCAGACCTTAATGAGAGGTTGGAAGCGCTTGAGACTGACTGTACTTTTCTTGAGCAATCTCTAAATTCTCTTCAAGATGGAAATGAGGGGCTGCTTTTTATTCAAGAGATACTTCATCAGTTACGAGAATTAAGGAAACTTGGGATAAGGAGCAGGAACATGTCTGTTTCATGAGCTTTATGTGTATCATTACAAAGGTAAGCATTCTAAAGATATAGGTCCAATTAAACTTACTTCTTTTACTTGACATATTAACTAAAAAATGTCTTTCTTAATAAATAGACACCTCTTGATGGAGATTCTGCACACTCAGTATAAACTTGTTGCATGTCTTGATTGATTGACGCTGGAAATTGCTCTTATGTCTCTCAATGAATTAACTATGCTCCTTGTTTGTCTAGTTTTATGTTAATTGTTACCACCTCAAGCTGATCATTTCTTTTTGCTTCTGTAAAAACAAGTGCTGTATATTCATGGATCTGCATATGTAATCGGGTTAACCAAGAATAATGCCAGAAATGTGGAATCTGATTTTTAGAGGATTAAGAATAGAAGATAGGAAGCAGTGAAAATATGTGACTGACAAATACTTGGAAGTGACTGTATCTGTATCTGATTTAACCCTAAGAAAGTAGGGCTTGTATTATCATGTCTGAATGTGCTTCAAATGTTCACAATATTTTCCAAATCTGTTCTGAGATCTTAAAAGTATTATGTGACAAAGATGAATGAGGGTATTTATGGTAGTACTGACTTGACAAGTATTGGTCCCTTTTTCCGTTGTCTAGAAGGGAATTTTTCTCTACTTCCCTCAATCTTCACTTTACGCCACGCCGACTCCCCTTTCGTCATAAGGCGTGGAATTAGACCAAGGGGAATCCCCATAGGAACTAGTCCCTCAGATTTCGCACGTAGGAGATCGAGACACAGCCCCAGGGCTATGAAGAAAGATGTAGATCGATCACCCTGGTTAAGTCTTTCTCTTTAGGAAGTCAAGTGTCCAATAACTAAGGCATCGATCACATGCTCCATTCTCAAGCTGTTTTCATGCCTTGACTCTATTTAGTTTATCCTGTGTTCTTCGGCATTTATCAAATTATGTTCCTGTGACATCCTATAGCTTTAGTCCTTTACTCATCATTCACTGTATATGCATACAGTATATAATTCAGATACATCCCAGATTGAGGGTAACTAGCCGGAAGCGGAAGTAAAGTATATCAGCGTGAAATATGATACAAAGATTGCAGGACTCAGAAGTCAGAAGTCATAACTCAGCTTAGAAAGAAAATGTGCCATTATCAAGATCATGTTTTACATACTAGGCACCACCTCATTTGATCAGGTATGGGAGTAAAACAATAAAAAGTAATTATTTCCTCGTTCCTTTTCTCTATTATTGGTTGGCAATTGGCAGGGGTTACATTTGTGGGTTTTTTTTTTTTTTTGGAGCACCGTGTGACTAAGTTGTAAAGTGGGTGATTTTTTTAGTCTCATTTACTTCTTCCTAATTTTTGTAGCCAATCCGACTTCAATTGTAAATCAAGAAAACCCCAATATAAATAGTTGAATGAGCAATTCATTTTTGCCTCTTTTAGCCCTTCCTTGAAGGCTCTGCCTCCTACCTCCATTCCCCTGTTTTATGAAATTTCGTGTGATATTGGTGTTTGCCCGTTTGGTGATGTGACGACTTTGCTTACTTTATAACATCAATGTCGTTCTCTCCTGAGTCATGGCCTTGATAATAATGATAAATTCAGAAGAAAAGACATAAAATTGAAGATTAGGATGATTTTGATTTGTTCATACATGTTACTTGAGCCGAAGGACAAACCAGAAAAGCCTGAAACCTTTTTTCTAATGCAATAATAGTCCAATAGGAAGGCCTAGCAACGACATCCTGTAGTTTTGAGCGGGCGAATCGGAATTTGGTCAACCAAATTAAAAAAAAAAAAAATTATTAACTCTTTCAAGAACACATCTTGGTAAATTAAATGCTTTGATATTCTAAGTCTTTTCGATAATACTAAAACATACTGGAAGAATATGTACACTCTAATTTCATGTTTTCGGGCACCCATTTCCAATGACAAGAAAATTCTTTTAAGATATTAGATTTTTTAATTCTTAAATTTAAAAAATAAAAATAGATGATAAAATTGAATTAAATTGAAGCATAATAACAAAATTTATCGTAATTCTTTTACTTTTTTATACTCCTAAGCAATTTTAATTATTTAATTTGAAAATTCAGTGAAACAATAGTTTTTTTTTGTTTGTGTGTGTGAATGAAATTTTAAAAATTAAGAAGAAAAAAAAAGTGTGAATATGGTAGCTGGAGTCCTAGGAAAAATAAAATCAGTGTTAAATTATTTCCAAAATTTTATTACTTGAGTACAAATTAAGCATTCAAATTAGTCAACATTTTATATATATATATATATTTTGATGGTATTAAAATTAAGAACCTAGATTAGTCAACAGATTCTTCTCCCATTGTTTTCTGGATAAACACATGCAGCCATATTAGTACTCTGAAAAAACTAAGTCTAGTACAAATATAACATATTAACCCCAATAGTAAAAAAAAAAAGGTTGAACTGGTAAGGAAGTTCACCGAACAAATCCTAAAAAGGAAACTAAAGACACGAGAATAAAGAAGAATTGAGATAAAGTTCTTGACAGTATTATTCGATAAATATTAATCAAAATTTGTGATAATTATATATTATTCTTGATTTTTTCATGAACAGCTATCAAATTATTGATTTTTTTTTTATTTGGAGAAGGGAAGATATTAAATGTATTCTATAATTACTCATGTTAATTTATTGATTTGAGTCTTTAAATTTAATTATTTTTTATAAAATCTCAAAAACTTGATCTAAACAACTTTCAATAAGTATTGGTAAAAAAAAAATTTTTTTACATGAGTTCTGTTTGCAAAATAAATATTACATTCGTCTCATTTTTTTTTTTACTATTTTTTGTCTCAAAAATATGTTTTTAACATTTAAAACTTTTATTTTATATTTTAAAAATATTTTTTTATGATTTTTATTTTTTGATATTTAAAAATGATGAAACTTTAATTTCATAAAAAAAATTAAATTTTAATATTAAATATTTTAAAATTAAAAATTTTTAAATTTCATAAAAATTAATAACATTTAAATTATTTAAGTCGCAAAAAATATTTGATTTTTCTAAGACTCTTTCTTAGAAGAGCATCGTGGTGAGAGTGGTCACTGAAAAATGCAATTTAGGATTGAGCCAAAAAAATCTTAAAACGTTTAGTTTAGATCATTTTCATTTTTTTAACTTTTTTATGCATGTCTCCTAATATTGTAACTGACTTTAGCCGTATGTCCTAAGGTCATGGAGGGACACAAATTTTTTCATAGCTTTGGTCTATAAATATAACATAAGATTCTAACCCCTACTAAGCCCGCCCCCCCCCCCCCCCCCCTTCCCTTGATAAGATAGCATAAACATTATAGAACGATGTTTATTCAGTTATTTACCTCATGGATTCTCCTGGCTCTCCCATTTTTCATCTTAATCATCATAAAAACCTCCAAATCCAAGAAACCACCCTCACCTCCTTCCATTTTCCCCAAGTCTTATCCAATAATCGGTTCCTCTTTCGCCATCAAATCCAATCGAAAGAACCGCCTGCAATGGATTACACAAATCCTCCAGAGCTGTCCCTCTGCAACTTTCACTCTCCATCACTTATTTGGTTTTCGCCAGATCTTTACTGCAAACCCTGCCAATGTCCAACATATGCTCAAGACCCACTTCTTCATCTACCAAAAAGGCCCCTTCTCTACGAGCGTTCTCTTCGATTTTCTTGGCAACGGTATCTTCAACGTTGATGGGGAGTCTTGGAAGTTCCAGAGACAAGTTTCCAGCCACGAGTTCAACACCAAGTCTCTTCGTAAATTTGTACAAACTGTTGTTGATACCGAGCTTCATGACCGTCTGATCCCGATGTTTTCTGATGCTGCTGTTGATAAGACCGTGCTTGACTTGCAAGAGATTCTTCAGAGGTTCGCTATTGACAACGTTTGCAAGATCGCTTTTGGGTTTGACCCTGCCTGTCTGTTGCCTTCTTTACCACAGGCACAGTTTGCAGTTGCTTTTGAAGAGGCTACTAACATAAGTAGCGAAAGGTTCCGCGCTTTTCTTACTATAACTTGGAAAACCAAGCGATTTTTCAATGTTGGATCGGAGAAAAGACTCAAAATTGCAGTCTCTCAAGTCCGTGACTTCGCAAAGAAGATTGTAAGAGAAAAGAAACAGGAACTAGCTGATAAATCCTGTTTAGAATCCGTTGATCTCTTATCAAGGTTCTTGAGCACTGGCCATTCAGACGAGAATTTCGCTACGGATATAGTCATCAGCTTCATACTTGCTGGGCGTGACACAACATCCGCGGCTTTGACATGGTTTTTCTGGTTAATATACAAACACCCTGAAGTTGAAAAGGAAATTCTCAAAGAAATCAAAGAGAAATCCAATTTGCCAGTGTTCGAGGAAGTTAAAGACATGGTTTACACACATGCTTCTCTCTGCGAGTGCATGAGACTGTACCCTCCAGTCCCAGTGGACAGCAAACTGGCAATGGAAGACGATGTTTTACCGGACGGGACGGTGGTAAAGAAAGGAATGGTAGTGACGTATCATCCTTACGCGATGGGAAGGATGGAGAAGGTATGGGGATCAGATTGGGCAGAGTTCAAACCAGAGAGATGGTTGGAGAGAGATGAGGGAGGGAAATGGAGCTTTGTGGGGAGAGATCCTTATACTTATGCAGTGTTCCAGGCAGGACCCAGGATTTGTTTGGGGAAGGAGATGGCGTTCTTGCAGATGAAAAGGGTGGTGGCAGGTGTTCTAAGGCGGTTCAAGCTGGTGCCGACGGTGGAGGATGGGTTTCAGCCGTTGTTTGTTGCTTATCTGACATCTAAGATGGAAGGTGGCCTCCCAATCAGGATTGAGGAAAGGAGAAATTTCGATTAGCTAAAGCAGGGGGCAATGAATTTAATTTTTTGTTATTTTATCTTTACTTAGTTCTCCAAACATTTAAATTAAAATAACTTATTAAATATATTATTAATATAATTTTTTAATTTTATAAGCGTAATTATTAAGATAATACATCTTATTTAAGATATAAAAAGATAATTTAGTACATAAAGTTTTCACTATAGGCGAGATTTGGGGGAGAATCGGATTTATTGAGTTTGATGTATGCAGTAAATTCGATCTTTTTTCTAAAGAAAACTTTATCTACTGAACTTCCCTTTTATGTTCTAAAAAATATGTATAATCTTATTAATTATACTTATAAAATTAAAATTTTATACTAATAATATATTGAATAATTTATGTTAATTTAAATACTTTAGAATTAAAATACATAAAGATAAAATGATGGAAAATTAATTTAAAATATATATAATTACAATAATTTTACTTCTAAAATTAAAAAAATTATATAAATAATATATAAAATAATTTTTTTAAAATTAAATTCGACGTGTAATAGCATCGTTAGTACTTTGAAATAAAGTTGTAAAGCCTTATAATTAGTGCTTAGATTGATTGTGTTTGCTTTATTACGTAGACATATTTCATGTATATAAATTATATGTATGTATATTATTTTTTATAATTTATTATTTATGTTGCCAATTTTATATTTAAAAATTTTTAAAATTTATTTTTAAAATAACATCATAAAATCTTCCTACCAAAATTCTCTAAACCTATATTCAGAAAGAAATATGTAGAATGAGATCTATACTCGTACTATTAAAAGAATCTTTAAATCCCTCTATATATGATAGCAATTCTTTTGGCGAGTTTTGTGGACTTTGGGACATGAGAGTTTGGAGGGTTATTTTGAGGATTGGGGTTGTGGCGAGAGGATGGTAAACTTTACAAGTAACAGAAAATTTGATAGGAGAGAGAAAATTACATTTATAAAATTTTAAACCATTTTAAATTTACACGTAATAATATCGGAGTTTGGCAGCTCTTTTTTTTATTAACACATGGCTCTGTTTAACAAAAAGGTGAAAAGGCTGATCAAAAGACGACTTATTGTTTTCCTTCTTGTACCTCTTTCTACTTTCAGCTCAACTCTAACTAGAGGTTAGAAATTAAAAAAAAAATAAAAGAAAGTGATTTGAAATTATAATATTTAATTTGAATTAAATTAAGTTTTTTATTTATTTGAATTAATTTTGAATATTAAATATATATATTAAATTTGGATGAAATTTTGTATCAAAAATTAAAAAAACTAAATCGAATAAAATTATATATATTTAATATATATATATTTTAAAATTTTATAAAATAAAATAATAATTTTATATTAAAATTTTATATTAAAATAATATATAAAATTAATAAATTAAACTGAATTAAACAAAAAAATTTTAATTTTATTCTATTTGACTCAAATTTTAAATTTTTATAACCCCTCACTCTAACCTTTTTTTTCATTCCTTTTCAACTATCCTATTGATGCTGCTTTCTGGGTCTTCTTTAAAATGATTTGAACTTCTCTCAAAATTCTTAACTTCGGGTTTTTAGTCTAAAACATTAAGGATTTGTCTCTTTTCACAGAGTTCTATTGTAAGTGTCAGCTTTTCTACTTTACCTGGTGATTTTCTTTTTGGGTTTTCACTGATACGATTTGTACTACTCATTTTTTAACTTGGATTATTCAATAACATTACAAAAATTGTACTTTTTGATTGAGATCTATTGGTAAGTGTTAGCTTTAACTATGCCAGTTGATTTTCTTTATGGGTTTTCATTATATGATTTAAATTTTCTGTTTTCAACTTGTTGTGAAAAACATCAAATTTTTTCTTGCTAGCATGTAGTAGAAAGTGTAAGCATTGCATTGATAAGTCCTTTTGGTTATTTATCCAACTTTTTCTGTTGATTTTCTTTCTGAGTATTTATTAGTATTTGATTTTTAACTTAGGGTTTTTTTTTAAATGATAAAAAAAATCTATATTTGTTTGCTTAGTGGGCTGCGGCTACTATTATAGAAAAATGATTGACATCAAACAATCCCAAACGAAGCAGGACCATACCACTAGTGTAAAACAAAAGAAGGGATAAACCAACAGGGAAAGCCGAGAACTTTTTAAGGCCTAAGCGTCACTACGCCCAGAATTTCAGATTTGCTATCTCTAAAAATAAAAATTTTCGAAAATGTAATTTATTTTGAAGTGGTTCGTATTTTAATCGATTCAAAACTCTAAAAGAATTTGGTATATTGACTCCACTATTCTTGCCCTCACACAATTCACAAACCTTTAAAAAAAAAAATCCGCACTCTCTCTTACGCTCAAATTTTCACTGAATCCCATTATGCCGAATCTGAAACTGAAACTGAAACTGAAACCGAAACGAGATCGGAAAGCGAATACGAGTCGTCGAAAGAGCCATTGTCCCTGAAACTGGCTGGAGCTCCCACGCGATGTGACGGCGTCGATTCTGTTGAGACTAGGAGCCGTAGAGATCATTGAGAGCGCTCAGAAAGTATGCACCCAATGGCGCAACATCTGCAAGGATCCATCCATGTGGCGATCCATCGACATGTGGAATCTTGGTAACTTACATGCCATGCCCTATAATCTCGAGAAAATTTGCAGGCACGCTATTGATCGCAGCTGTGGTTGTTCGGTCGATATCAATATTGAGTACTTTGGTACGGATGAGCTTCTCGCTTATATCACTCAGAGGTAATACTATTTCCCTCATAATCATATCACTGATTAATGGTCAATCTTGAATGTTTGGCGTAATCAATTTGCTGGGTTTGGTTAATGAACAGTAGTAGTTAATCGGTGATCCCATGGGTTCTCTTTTACTTATGTTCGTAATCTGTATGCTATCATTGGTGATTATTTGGAAACCTTTAATACTATTCAATTGCATGAATTTGGGAAAAGAAGGTTCAGTTATACTATTGACTAAAACAGTGAGGCATTGATTTCTGTTTGATGTGGATTAGATTTATGAAATGCATTTCGAGGTTAGGCCCTTTCAATGTGGATATATACTTCTTTGTAGTTGGATTTTCATAGCCTTTGTGACAACGTCGAACCTTTATATCATTCTTTTTTCGTAGTTATATCCCAAAAATCATGATTGGTCTATTTACAGATCCTTCAGATTCTCTTTTCTCAATTAAGGTGCCCTTTATAATAGAAAAGTTATAATGTTTATCACTTTGTTTATTTTATTATACTAGTTGTAAGGTTATTCATTAGTTTGATTGCTGACTACAGCAACCATGTTTTATTTTGATGTTTTTTGCAGAACAAGTATTCTCATACGCCTTCGACCTATAACTTGCTGGGATATTTCAAATGAGGGATTGAGTGAAGCAGCTAAAAAATTTCCATTGCTGGAAGAGCTTGAAATTTATTCTGGTAATACTGGCAAAGATGCTATAGAAGCTGTTGGGCGTTGTTGCCCTCTTCTGAAAGCATTCAAATTTAATGGAGATGGGATCAGAGACCCCGCTTTTCAGGATGACAAGGAGGCACTGGCTATTGGAGAACACATGCATGGATTGCGCCACCTTCAACTTGTTGGAAATAATCTGACAAATCATGGCTTGCGGGCCATTCTTGATGGGTGCCGTTACCTTGAATCCCTTGACCTGCGCAGTTGTTTCCATGTTAATCTAAAAGGGGATATGGGGAGAAGATGTGCTGAACAGATCAAACTTTTGAGATGGCCCAATGATTCAGTTGATGACTTTGAATTCAATGCAGAAATTCATGGTTCTGGATATTCTAATATTGACTATACCTCTTTTGACTTCAGTTTTGATTATGATTATCATGACGGTTTTGATGGTTATAATTCCGATTTTAATGCATTTCTTATATAGCCAGTAATGATTGATGAGGTGATGGATCTTGAGAAAAAGCTGAAGTGAAGGATTTTCGGATGGCCTAAGAGTAAGTTCTTTTGGACAGTTTTAGACAGGATTGAAGCTAAGCGATATGATATTTTCAGAAACTCAGACCCATTTGTAAAATTTAAAAAGTTTGGGTGCAGCAAAACACTCTACTCTTGCAGTCTTTTGGTGATGAGCCATTTTATTGGAGCTAATTTCTGATGCTTATCCATCCTTTTTTAAGTATCTATTTCTAGGAGAATTTAGTTTGTCTGAGTGTAAGGACAAGTTTTTATCGTATCCGTTTGATATTGTTATATCTGTTTTTTTTTTTAAGATTCAGCTTTATTTGTGTAGGGATGCTGACCTTTTCATGGTAAATGTCTATCAAGTTTTCAGTTGTTGTCATCATTTCTGTTTTGAGGTATATCATATAATGAATAAATTATGTAAGGAGCTGGGAAATTTAAAACTGATGCATAAGAATAATATTATTAAAAACGATTTTGCCCAGTTCTGTATCAAATGCAAGTCCTAATAAGTTGTAAAACATGGGTTGATAATATCTAGACTAGTAAGAGATGAAAGGAGGATCCTCATGGCATGCCAAACGTCAGCACATCGTAACAGATTTTTTTTATTAAAAAAAAAAAAAACTAACACTACGGCAAATAAGACGAAGGGGCAAATTAAAAACTGCAACCAAAAAAGTAGAAAGAACAAAAAGTTGGAGAGAAGAGGAACGTTATAGAGTAGAATTTGAAAAGCACTTCTATGATCGGAGTTAATAGACAAATGCTTTGGTGAACGATGATTTCATTCTTTCATAACCATCCAAAAAGTCTTGGAAAGAGAGAGAATCATTCAAGTAATCTAGTTAATGACTACTTTCTTAATTTGAAATTTTTTGAGATATTATTTTTAGGGCTCAATTTGAAATCCATTGAATTGTCGGTGTGAGATCAGTTGATGTAATGGCATTGGACATTCATTTGGACGTTTGTGGTGTGGCATGATTAGTGGCTTTTAGCTGTTGACCACCCTTTTTGTCTTTTTTGTTTTTTTTTTTTTCATTTTTACCATTTAAATGATAGTGTAATTACAAAAAAGATTTTTTTGTTACCATTTATTTAAAATAGTAAAATATTTTTGTTAATTTGATATAATAAAAAATTTATTTGATGTATATTATTTTTAATAAATGTTTAATTATTAATAAAATTATAATTTGGTATAAATTAATTTAATAATTTTATAAATATTAAATAATTTAAAACTTTATTATTATATATAATTTTAGTTTAACATTTTTAATGATCTTTTTTTTTATTGTAATTTATGTCATTATTACTACTACATTTATATCCAAATATATATATATATATATTCATCAATAATTTATTTTTATTATTATAATAATTAATTTTAACGAAATAATATCTTCATTCATACAAATAAAATAGACTTATTTTCACCGGTTGTTGAATTTGTTAAGATAGCAGCCAAGATTATTCAGAAGTCACAATCATGAGTGACGCTAAATTATTATTTTTTGTTTTGTTCTCTCATTATTAGTTCATCCTTAACCAATGTTTTTTTTTTTTTTTGTTGACAAAAGAAAAAAAGTGAAAGAAATTAATATAGTCATAGAATTACCAAGGAGACAAAAATAGAGGTGTGGAAGAGAAAGAGCAAAATGTAATACTAATGTGGAATTTAATTGTTTAACATTTTTTATTTAGGAAGAATTTATAATTTATGCGTTGTTAATTTATAATATTATAAATTTGTCGTAATTTTATAATAATATTTTATAAAAAATTAATTTAAAAAAAATTTAAAATTAAGTGTATTTAATTTTAAAATTTTTAAAATTAAATTTTATGAAATATAACTATGTAATTGTATTTATCTACGGATAATTGTCTCAAATGTAAAATTTTTTAAAAATAAAATTAAAAATTACATTTTAATTAAAAAAATAAAATTACAAAGCATCTTGTTCAAAAAAAAAAAAAAAAAAAAAAACTTAGGGAAACACATATTTATTGTAATCATCATTTATTATATTGCTTTGGGTCAAAATCATTTATTATCGTTTGCGTAACGTAAAAGAAAACTAGAATTCGCTGCCGGGTGGTGGTAATTGAAATTGCTAGAAAATAGAAATCATTTTCGTAAGAAAGTTCTGGTCTCGCACCTAAGCAATTTGATAATAGTTTATTAGATTTTGGAACACATACATTGTCGGTTAAAAGAAAGAATATATATATATACATATATGTTTTGAAAGATAGGGAAAAAGAAATTATGTGATGGATGAGTAGTTTTTTAAATACAAGTGAAATAATTAAAAATAAATTTATTTGAAAAGATATAAATATATTTTTTTCCTTGTTATTACTTTTTTGTTAACTTTTTTTCAAATTCTCAAAAAAAAAAAAAAAAGTGACCTAGTAATCGAGTCACTTTCAATTTCCCCTTTCAAATGATTTTTTTTTTCTTGCATAAAAGTACGGCATTTGAATAATTTTTTTTATTTTATTTTAAGGTAAAGTCTATAACAAAAGAGAGAGAGAGAGAGAGATTGGATCGAATTCCAATCTTTGTGTCTTCTTTAAACATTTGAATAATATTTGTTGAGAGGTTATAATAAATTATGACCATATATAATATTATTCCAGTGAAAAGGAAAGCCCATATATATTATACAAACAAAATAATGGTTTTATAATTTGATGTTTATCTCATCAATTTATTTTGCGAGTATTATTGATAAACTCAAATCAATCAATGTAAAGTCCTTTGTAATTTGCATATTCGACTTATTATTAAAACACTTTTACTAAATTTTACAAATTAATTAAGCATATTTTCATTAGTGTAATAGCTGGTTATGCTAGCAGTTTAATTAACTTATTATTGCTTAATTTCCATCATTCCTTGAAAAGAGTGTAAAACATATTACGATTTATTTGAATGAATAATAAGATTGGTTTTAATGAAATTAAAAATAATAATAGAGATGAGATTAATTATTATTATAATAAAATTAAAATTAATTATGAAAATATACATTTGAATTTAAATGCAACGATAATGATAAGTTAAATTATAGTGAAACAAAAATGACGATTAAAGATATTAAATTAATTTTATATGTAATAAAAATTTTATATTATTTAAATTTTATAAATTAATCATAAAATTAATAAATAAGTAAAAATATTAAATTATTTTTATATCAAATAATAATTTTATTAATAAAAATAAATATATTATAATAATAATTTTTATATTTATTTATTAATTTATTATATAATAATAAAATTTATATGTTTTATTAAATTAAAACAAATAATTTCATACTTTTTTTAAATTAACAAAAAAAAAAAGAATAAGAAGGCATTGGCAATTGTATTTGGTCCAGACTGAGAAAAAAAATCTTAGTTGTCCACTAGTGTTATTATCACGGATCGAGACTTAAATTTTGATTTACGTAATTTTAGGATCTGGGCATCCACTTATTCGAAATTTCAAATCAACTTATCTATCACGATTCACATTCTTGTAAGATATTATTCGCTCTGGTCTCCTAATCTCATGATTTTGTCTTATAAAAAAATATTTCATAAGATAAAAATACTGTGAACCTTTATATATCACAGTGACCTTTTTTTTATATCCAATGTAAGATTCTGAACTCTTTCTTAAATCCGTGACATTTTCCTTCACCCAACCTCGTGATACCTTCGTCATGGAGGCTGACCACTATACCTATCTCCCTCGAGGTATTTGATATAGATCGAACGGTTTAGAGTTGACTCTAATATCACTTGTCACAAGTCGATACTTAAGCTCTAACCCGTACGACTCCATGACTCGAGCATCCACTCATCTTATGTCCCAAATTAGTCTACCTTATAAAGGTGTGAACCGTGATAGATAAATTGATCTGAAATGACAGATAAGTAGATACTCAGATCCTTCGAAGCTTAAGTTTAAACCCACGATACTATGCCTCTCTAGTTGGCTACCAGAGACATGGGTTGGTGCAATGCCTTACCGAAGGTAATCCAAACGAGTGATCAGCGTGATTTAAACCAAAAGATGCATCTCACTACTCCAAATTGTCCCTCCATTTGAATCCGAAGTGACTTTTAGTGTATTTAAGACATCATCGAATTTAAAATTTAATTTAATTGATTAATTTAATTATTTTAAAAATATTTTTTAAATAAATTTAACTTTTAATATCTATAATTATTTATTTAATTTTTTTTATAAAAAATTTAATTAATATGCTTCATCAGTAATTGATTAAAAATTATAACCGAAAACCTTATTGTTTTCTATATACAAAAAGAGCAAGACAAATGAATAATTTTGAGATAGAAATAGAGATTAATAAGACTTAAGCCAAGATTTGTTTTGGCTAAAATTAAGGAAAAAAGAAGAAAAGCCTACCACTGTAATCTGACATTTCTTTGTCCTTTTTCAGAGGGCCGGAGGAGGCAATGCAAATTAAAAGTTGAATTTGAGAGAAATGACGATTCTGAATGAAATGCGTTTGTTTGAATGGCCAGCCACTTTGTTGGAATTTTGACTATTTGAAAATAGGGAAAGCTTTCACTTTGATATGCCATCCTAAAAAAGGTTTGACTTTAACGATGTTTGCATTTAAACAAGTTTACCAACTCAAACTCTGTATCTTTAGCGATAACGTTTTTGGATTGCTTTTTCAACAACTGATTTTATTTTATTGGATAAATGATATATTTTTTATTTATCCAAGCAAGGACGAATAAAATCTAAACATGCGTCGTATCAAAATTAAGATTTAATTTTTTATCTATATTAAAATGAGATGAATATTAAATTTGGGAGATAACAATAAGAATGGATATAGTTTTAAAATTTTTTAAAAATAAAGATAAAACTCCAACTTGTATTTTATATATTTAATAAATAAAATTTTATTTAATAATACAATTTTTTATTTTAGATAAATTAGCCTGCAGGGTTAAATGATTTTGCAGTATTTTATATTTGGTAAAACTAACGATTCTTACTTTGCATCTCCTTCTCTCTATCGCTAAAAAACACTTTGGTTTATTGTTTATTGATTGTGTTGCAATATTGAACTTTTCACAGATTAGGCTAGATCAAATATATTTCTATTTAAAAATATATATTTTATAAAAAAATTACATGTAGGTGCAGAATAAAAAACCTATAAAATATTTAGTTTTTATTTTTTAAAAAGTTACATGTACAGGAATTTATCATACCTACTAAATTTTTATGGCAATGAACATGAGGATAAATTTAAA